CCGAGCCGGGGGGGGGCGAGGGCATCTTCAGGAGAGGTCGTCGGGCCGTTGCCAGGGACTCTCAGTAATCGGTGCCCCTGACCCAGGCAGGACTCACTGAGCCTCCGCTCAGCAGCCAGGGCCGGCTCCGCCGGAGACACGGGACAGGGGAGAGGTGCTCTCAGGACGGGCCAGCAGCATGGAGCGGCTCAGCTCGGAGAGCCCACGCAGCCTGGCTCCAAGCCAGCTCCCACTGGCCCCACGCAGCTGCGGGGTGACGGAGACGTGGAGCGCAGGTGGGGGGCAGCAGGGAGGAGAGCGAAAGCAAAGAGGGTGAGCACGGGGTGGGAGTGGGGAAGCAGGGAGGCCCTCGAGGGGGCAGGGTGCCCACATGCCCATCGGCGACGCTCAGACCCACAACGGCTGGTCCCTCTGCCCCCTCCAAAGCCGGGGGGGCAACACCCCCAGGCTCCAGGGGCTCGGCCCACGTGGGTCTCGGCGGGGCCACGCCATGTGTGCATCCCTGGGGCTAGGCTGCCCTACATGGCATCCCTCGGCACGGGGCTGGGGAACCTTCCTTGGGACGGGGGCCGCTGGCCCACAGAAGAATCAGTCGGGGGCCACACACGAGTGAGAACGACCCTCCCCACGTTCCCCTCGCACACCGGAGCCTGGGGGCCCGGCTGGTAGATCTTGTGCACTTCAGCCCTGCGGGCGAGTGGCAGGTTCCCCAGCGCTGAGTCTCAGGGGCCAGATCCAGGCAAGCGGGGGGCCGGACGCAGCCCCCGGGCCCGAGGTTCCCCACCCCCGCCTTAGCTGCTCTCCCCACGCTACAGGGCTCCGCCAGAGTCTTCCCTGCAGGCAGGAGGATCCCTTGCTGGGAAAGGCAGCGGCCAGCCTGGGGTCACCTCATGGTTTCCACGTTGGGGTTGTCCTCGCCACGGAAGAACTGGTTGCTGCGGTCAGTCCTCACCACGTCTTTGTCGACCGTGAACTGCACGTTGCGCCAGAACTCCTTGTGCTCCTCTGGGGTCATCGAAAGCCTGGAAACCAGGCGGGGACTGAGTGCCCCGCGCAGCCACGAGCCAGCACGGCGGGAGGAGCCAGGGGGGCACAGACCAGGCCCCACCTCTCCAGACATCTCGCACCACCCACAGAGGGTCCCAAATCTGCTGAGAGCTGCTCGTCCGAGCAGGGCCCCGACAAGTACAGCCGCTGCTCCGGGCCAGCTTGCGCCAAGGAATTCACATGCCCGAGCTGGCACCAACTGTCCCCGTCCCCCCTCCCTTCCTCCAGACGCCCCTGGCGGGCCACAGGGCCCAGGGCCAGGATGAGAGAAATGGGGCCTCTCCCTGGTCACCTCTTCTGCTGGATCTCCAAGTATTCACTCCTCTTCTGCACCCTCCACGCCTCCCTCTCCTCCGACGTGGACTCGTAGCTGTAGTACCGCAGCATGAAGGGCCAGACCCTGCCCCGTCCCCCCTCCCTTCCTCCAGACGCCCCTGGCGGGCCACAGGGCCCAGGGCCAGGATGAGAGAAATGGGGCCTCTCCCTGGTCACCTCTTCTGCTGGATCTCCAAGTATTCACTCCTCTTCTGCACCCTCCACGCCTCCCTCTCCTCCGACGTGGACTCGTAGCTGTAGTACCGCAGCATGAAGGGCCAGACCCTGCCTCGGATCGACACGTCAATCCCGCCAAAGAAAATGGCCTGGAGGAAGGTACCGAAGCGGCAATCAGCACGGCTGCCAGCCCTGGCCCGGGGGAGGGACCAGCCCAGCCACCAGCCAAGCGGCCCCTTGGTTCACAGTTTGCACATGCGTGGAGGCAGAACACAGGCCGCCTAGTCCCAAAGGGGACGCAGATCGGGCTCATCTCAGTGTCAATCCCCCTCCTTCCCCTGCGATTAACGCACGGCTCTCAAGTCATGGCGTAATCCCCGATCCCGGAGACGCTGCATTTCTCTGCCTGCTTTTCTCCCCCGGCACCCCCCAAACCCGGGTCTTATTTCACCCAGAGCTGGACACTCGTCCACTAGGGCCAGTAGGCAGGACAGCAAACCCCTCTGCTCAGCAGGGGGCGCCGCTGTAGCCCCTGCCACGGCGCCAAGCAAACCGCTTCAGCTTCCACCTGGGGCCTGGCCTTTGCCAAAAGGAGCCCGCAGACCGCCAGGCCCTCACCTTGTGCAGCTTGTACTCCTCTTCCACCTGCCCTGCTCCGTTGAGGTGACTGAGCCAGGCAGAGACGTCCAGCCGCTTGTACGTGTTCTCCTCTGGGTGCGTCTCGGAGGACGGCTGCCACGGCGCCAAGCAAACCGCTTCAGCTTCCACCTGGGGCCTGGCCTTTGCCAAAAGGAGCCCGCAGACCGCCAGGCCCTCACCTTGTGCAGCTTGTACTCCTCTTCCACCTGCCCTGCTCCGTTGAGGTGACTGAGCCAGGCAGAGACGTCCAGCCGCTTGTACGTGTTCTCCTCTGGGTGCGTCTCGGAGGACGGCAGCTTGGGGCGGCGGATTGAGAACTGCATGCACGTCTTCTCCTCGGGAAGCTGCTGCTCGGGAGACAGAACGGCGGCAACCCGTTTGGCCCGGCGCCCTCGGCGTGGCCAGCCAAGAGCCGGGGGTGGGGGAGGAGGCGGGTTTCAGTAGAACACCGGCCATTAAAACAGCCGGAGTAATTGGAGCCATTGAGCATCGGAGAGCCACAAACCAGCTTCATTTTGAAAGACAGTTTCTTGCCTCTCCTCCCCCACCCCGCCCCCAAATTCACAGCACTTCCCGCCAAACATCCCTCTGCCAGGGACGCCTGTGAGAAGTTCCATGTCATTGGCCTGACAAGGGACCGTTGGGAGGCACGCCGAGCGGTCTGCTCAGCTCGTGAAGGGCACTAGGGGCGTGTCTAGACTACAAAACGTTTTTTTCGAATAAAGTAGCCTTTTTTGGAAAAAACTTCACCTGCATCTAGACTACAGCCGCAGGCTTTCCAAAGGAAATCGAAAGAACGCGGCAGTTTTGTCAACCGTGGTTAACCCCATTCTACGAGGAATAATGCCTTTTTTCGAAAGTCATCTTTTGAAAAAAGGCGCTACTGAATGAAAACAGGGCTTTTTCGAAAGCGCGACTAGACTCTCTTTCGAGAAAGCAAGCCGCTTTTTCGAAAAATCTTCTTATAGTCTAGCCGCTCTCTTTCGAAGGAGGCTTGCAGTCTGGACCTACCCTGGAAGCCCAGTGCAAAACCGCAGCCGGCATTCAATGTAAAAATCAAAGGCTGCTCCGTGGAAGCGCAAATCCATGCGACCGTAATCGGGAACGCAGCAGGGGCCCGGCGAGAAGGAAGGGAATATACGAACCACGTTCTAATAAGCGCACACACTGTCTTAAACAGATAATTAAAGCGCTCGTATCGCATTTGTATGGGACTGAGCCAAACACGCAAAGGGGACTTGTCAAAACACCGGTTCCAAATGCTGCAGGCTACACACCACGGATGGGAGGTGCACAGAACGGCAGCCTGACGACTGCTGATTTTCCAGCCATCCAGCGGCCTGACGCCACCAGCTGGGGCAAAGCAGACATCTAACCAAGCCTTCTGGCTCATCACCCCTCCTCTCCGCAGGAGCGGAGGGGACAGGCAGGTGCAGCAGAGCAAGGCGATTTGGTTTGCACGTGCATTTCCCAAAATCGTCCGAGCAACAATGGATTAGTTAAGACACGACTCGATTCTCCCCTCCCCCGCCCGCAGGCCAGCCCTGGTGAGAAACGCAGGTCTCCCAGAGAGAACCTCCGTCGCACAGGGCACCCCGGCCGCAGCAGGCCCTGCTCGGCTACCTGGTCCTTGAGATGGGTCTCCGTGCAGTATTTCCATTGCTGAAACACCTCGGACAGTTTGTCCAGGCCACCATGGTGAAAGTGGAAGATCTTGTATTGACTCTCCCTGCTAGCAACCACCAGCTGCCCGCTGGTGCACGCCTCGTCGCTGAAGGGCACACAAAGGAGAACAATGCATGCGGGGGCTGGTTTTACGGCCCGGGAGCTCGGGGTGGGCGCGGCCGGCGGGCTGCACTAGGAAACACCGGAGAGAAACAAGCGTGCGGGAAGGGGTGCCTCCTGCGGAAGCAGGCGCAGGGTTTCTGCCGCACAGGAGCGGAGGTTCCCCGTGGCCCCAGGGACCACCCTTCGCCCTTCCCTGGGGCACCCCAGCACTTCAGCTCCCATCCCTTCCCCCTCCAGTTCAGAGCGCTGGCTGCACAGGGACGAGTCCTGCCGGGGCAAGGGACAGAAACCCAGGCTAGCAACGCTCAGTGCGCACCGAGCGGGGTCCCGGGGGGGGCTCTGGTTGCAATGGGGCTGTCCCTACCAACAGGCAAAGCATGCGGCTGCACGGGGCACCACATTTCATGGGGCAGGCTCCGGCCACCCCCACTTCAGCGCTGGTTTGGAGGTCCCCTCAGGCTCAGCGCCCAGCCCCCGCTCACCAGGCAGAGATGCGCAGTCCTGGTGGACTGGAGGACTGAGCAGGGGGCAGCCACGCAGCAGGCGGCTGGGGAGACGCGGCGTTTTCCCCTTCCCGGCACCGCTTCCCTGCAGCCACTTGCACAGCTGCCTGCCGCCCTTCCCGCTCGCCCTGCTCCAGGCGGGTCCCTCCCTTCCCCCAGTGGCAGAGTAGCCACTCCCCGGGGGTACTGGTGCTGGGCCGCGTAGGGCACCTGCACAGGTCGGGACACTGCGGGGCTGCAAGCCACACCCGCTCCGGCCCAACGGGAAGGGTTTGGGCAGGGGGAGGGAAAAGCCGCCCACACATCTGGAATTAGAAGAAGCCAGACGAGGGAAGAGCCGGGAGAGCCCAGAGGAGACGGGGAGGGGAGGAACCGAGGCTACACTTGCTCCTCCACCTCCTGGCTAGTCTTGATTTTCTGAAGACGGGCAGCACCAGTACGGGGCACCTCGGAAGATTTCCTAGCAGGGTTCCTCTAGGTCAGCAGGGATTCTGCAGGGAGGCGAGCTAGCTCAGCAGGCTGCCACGTGGGTTCAGATGGAGACAGGCTCCAGAAGAGATGTTCTGAAACAGCCGGTCTCCACACAGCCCAGCTCCCCCGCCTGCCCAGTCACCCCCCCCACCCCGTCGCCGCAAAGGCCGACAGACGATCCGGAGCTACAGCTCTTACCTAAAGAAGAGGCGAAGGGACCTCATTTGTCCCAGGTCCACTCTGAAGACCCCACAGATCTGCTCTAGGGCAAATACCTTCTGCTGCTCGTCCCATCGGGTGTTCTGCGCCGGCCCGTTGCCCTCCTGGCAGTGGGCACTGGTGTCAAGGCTGGACGTGGAGCTGTTCGAGCAGGTCATGTGATTGTCACACGTCTCCCTACAGGCAGAAAGGGCAAAACCACCTGCCCTCTCCCCCGAGACCCAGGCTCTGCCCCCACCCCCGGCCGCACCG